GATGCTATGGGACGGAACGCGTCAGTTGCGGGGTGGGCTTTGGGGCAGGCCCTGCGTCGGGAGCCCTCCCAGACTTGTCTGAGTCTCTGTGTTCGTGCCCTTTTTTGCAAAGATGAACTGATAACCCTAAACACGGCCCTGTCTGTGAGTCGTTCTAGTCGATTGTGGAGACCAAGAGGGTAATCAGAGCTGGCAGGTAAGAGGTGAGGGGGGCTGGGGCCCCTGAGCTTATGGCTGGTATCCTGAGGGGGTAGAGGGGGCCCCAACTTGTAGCCAGCAGGTCAGAAGTGAGGGTGCCATGGAGACCTTGAGCGTACAGGTGGCATCCTAAGGTGTAGCGAGAACCCTGCATTTGCAGCCAGTAGTTCAGAAGGGGGGGTGCCATGGGGACCCCTGAGCTCACGGCTGGTATCGTGAGGGTGTAGAGAGAGAGGGCCCCAACTCTGCAGCCAGCAGGTCAGGGGGCAGGGTGCCGTGGGGACCCCCGAGCTCGCGGCCGTCAAGGACGGTGTCTTTTCCTTTGAGAATGCTGATGTGGCTCTGGGGGGTTGGGGCTGGGAGGAGGTGCCTCACGTGCAGCTGGGGGTCAGGGTAGAGGGAACAGATGGATCTCCGCAGTTGGGTGTCAGAGAAGTGGGGTGTGGGCTTTTCCAGCAGGAAGCCCCTGGAGGGTTCTGGCAGAGGGTGGGGTGGACACAGCACAGCTAGTGGGGTCCTCATCTGCGTGATGGGGTTTCTGGAAGTTCACAGCCAGGTCCCAGGGCATCTCAGCAGTTCCTCAAAGGCCAGAGGTCATCATCACGCTGTGATGGAGCAGCCAGAACCCCACAGCAGCCTTCACGGGCATGCGTGCCGACACACAGGCACGCACGCACGCACACACGCATGTGCAGGATCTTCAGCACCCCCCTAAGAAGGCCCCTCCGGAGCAGGGCGGTCACAGCAGGTACTTCTAAGTGTTGGACGCCAACGGATCTTGGCCCACAAGCCGCACCACCCTGGGCACGTGGCCTGGGCCCCACTTTGTCTGTGGACACATGCAATTCTCCCCCAGTTCGGTGGGGTGCAGACAAATTAGCCCTGTGTTTCAGAGAGGACCCCCAAGGCTCTGAGAAGAGGCACAGACCCAAATCCCCAAGGTCGCGAAGCTGGGGTCCCACAAGCAAGCTCCCTCGGGCTGGGCTCCTGGAGGGCTGGGAGCCCTCGGTGCTGGGGTCTCAAGGAGCAGAGCCAAAGCCTGCTGGCGCCTTTCCCAGTGCCGGTCACTGCCCCTTCAAGCCTGGGATGAAGAAGACAGACCTGTTGTGGGCACCGAACCCAGGGGGTGCCCAGGTGTCCATCAGACGCCCCGTGCCCACTCCTGGCTCCCATGCCGTGCTCTGTGCTCCCGAGTACGGCCACACCAGGCCGTGGTTCACCACCAGCAAATGGCAGTTTACACAAGAAGGGGTTACAGACACAACCCTTACTTTTCTCTGAAAACAGCCTAGGAGAGCACTCTGGGAGGAACGTGGGTGGGACACTTTCATCACCAAGGCCAGGAGCTACTGTGTTCGTGGTGGGGTCAGTGATCAGGCACTGGCCAGTGGCAGGGACATTCCTGGGACCTCCCACCCCCAGCTGGGTGAGGGTCACACTTTGTCTCACAGCAGTGGTTCTCAACCAGGGAGGTTCTGCTCCCCGCCCCCAGGGAACACTGGGCAATGCCTAGAGGCATTTTTGGCTGTCACGCTGGGCAGGCAGGGTGCTGGTGGCATCTGATGCGTGGAGGCCAGGGATGCTGAAATCACTTGGCAGGTGTGGACGGCCTACAGCACAGAGAGCCCGGGCCAGCCCTCAACCTCAGCTTCCCGCCGGCCCAAGGAGACGAGCAGGCAGGCCACACGGGGGTTTTACCAATTTTATTTCCAGACTTTTCACGTTTGTCTTTTGCTTTCATGAAACATGCCGGTTACATGACCGCGGTGGGAAGTGGTGGGCGTGCGGCCCCGCGGCATCCGCCGCCACCAACCATGACACAGAAACGTGCGCAGACCCAGGCCCTTACAGACACGGGACTCACTCCCAGGACCTGCCCCCAGCCGTGGGCTTGGTCCGCACAGCGTTCAAGGCGTCGCCTCGCCCTGTGCCCGCCACTGCACACAAACAGTCCCTCAAGGATTGTTTGGTTCACAGAAGCCCCGGCTGGGTGGTTGAGGTAAGCATGAGCAGTCTTCCTGGAGGGGCCGGCAGGCTCCCAGCCTCACGGGCCCACCAGCGCCCCAACCCTTTTGGTTTGGGCCCCTGGAGCCCTCAGCTGGCTTCATTGAGATCTGGAGTCTCTTTAAATTAGCATCGCGCTGTCATCCGAACAGAGAGACACAAGTATGTCCTCACAGACCAGACATGCCCTCAACTGAAGCCAAGCCCCGAAGTTCCTCCAGCTGTGTCAGGCCCTGCACCCGGGCGGTGCCTCAGACAGACTGTCAGAGCACCAGTGAAACGTCCGCAGCCAAATGCAAAGGATACCAACACGATGGCACATCCCAGGTCAGGGGAAAGGTCCAGCGTGGCAGGCGCTGGGGAGAGAACGCGGGCGCGGCCTGCCGACCCCCACTGTCTGCCCACGCGTCTGCTGAAGCGGGAGGCCGCCTGGCCCTACACATGGCTGAGTGAAGCATGAGGTATGTGAATAGGAACCATTTTTTTTTTTTTTGGAATAGAGCAATAATCACATATTGATCACATTAAAAAAAAAACCTACAAAAAAAAAAAGGCATCTGTAATACAATTGTCTATGGGAAAATTAAAACCCTAGAACATGGCAGTCAATGACATCGTAAAACAAAACAGCTGATTCTCCAGTAGCAGCAAAACAATGTGAAAAAGACAGAGAAGCTACGTGAATCTGTTTCCAAACCACGCCGGGAACGCCAGCAAGCCATCCTTAGCAGCGCGGTGAGGACACGAGGCTGCCTCCCAGGCCCCGATGGCTGTGCCCGCCCTGTGCACGTCCACCTCCCGTCCTGCGCTCAAGCACCCGCCTCAACGCTCCCGCCACCTCCCTCCAACACTTCCTGCACGGTAATCACAAGATACGTCACCGAGATGTGCAAATTGTCTGATCGCCAAACTCTCTCCAGAAAAGAGGGGGCTGGGGTAGGGCTGCCTCGGAACGGGACGCGTTCCAAGTCCGTCAACGGGGGCCCCCGACTCCTTTCCAACGCGTTAACTTCTCACATAACTCATCTCTCTCACGTCCGACCACTTTGAGAAAGAAACACCCAACTGGCCGAATCAGTATCTGTGTGTGGCTTTGCTCTTCCTCGTCTATGAAAAGGACCTTCTCTTTCACAAACTAATTAATCAGCAACACCCAAGGCGGGAAGGTTTGTGTGTGTACGCGTTAAATCAAGGGGAGATTGCATTACTTTATAAATCATACTGGCCTTGCGAACATCCTCAATAAATATTCTTTTTTAGCCTTAACTATAAATTATATACTTTAGTGTTTAAAAACCTTCAGTTGTAAAACATCTAAAGATAATCCTTAAACTACGTGTTCTCTAGGTTAACCTTTAAGGTCCCTACTTTCAAACACCAGTTGGCACCAAAGGATGTCTCAACTTCAACTTGTCTACAGAAAAGGAAAGGAATGGACCCTGGCAAAATGAGGATGAAATTCTTGCTTTTTTCTCACTTGACCGAAACCAAAAACAAACCCAAACCCAAACCCAGTGCCATTGAGTCGATTCCGACTCACAGCGCCCCTAGAGGACAGAGTAGAACTGTCCCAGAGGGTTTCCAAGGCTGTCAATCTTTACGGAAGCAGACTGCCTCATCTTTCTCCCGCAGAGTGGCTGGTGGCTTTGAACCCCTGACCTTTTGGTAACCACTAATCCACCAGAGCTCCTGACCGAAACATAGCCTTCAAAAACACCCCTTTCTGCAAACCCCCTAGTGACAAGCACTTGCTTTCCGATCCTGTTTGCACCCAAGCATGCGAGTATTTCCAAACCATTCCATTTAAAAAAAAAAAAAAAAAAAAAATCGCCCCCATCCCCGCACACAAAATCAACAGATATCCCCTAAAACTAATGGACTGAAAGTGCTTGGAAATGGAATGGTTTTAGAATATTCGAGAGGGAAAGGGGAACCAAAAAAACAAAACCCCAAACTAGTAGCTGTGGATTTAACCTGGCTGTGTGCAGACTACAAGTCTCTCGAGTTAAAAACCAGCATTTCATCAACAGGTTAACTACAAAAATAGGAAGATTATAAAAATAGAATATATTATGTCGCTATTTTGTCTTCTCTTAGACAGCATGGGGGGGACTAACCGAGGGGTTCCAGCAGTCACGGATAATGTGAAGATGTTACGAGCCTACCTAAGAAACACACGAGAAACACACAACACGTCTTTAAAGTGACTACATGCATGGGCAAGCGATACAGAAATGCCTAGAACCGCGGTAAAGCTGTCTTCAGGAGAAGCACGGGAACACGTCTGCCTACCTACAACCTTCTACTTCACAAAGGGCTGGCTGGCTATTTCTTATTCATTTATTTTTTAAATGTTTTTATGCCTTTTTTTTCTTTTTAAAAGATGTCAAGAATCAAATCTAATCCTCCCGGGAAAAATTCCTTTGTGTTAATACCTAATCTTACAACAGAGACATAAAACCCATTAATAGAAAAACTAGTTGATTACTGGGGTAGGGGACCCTCTACTGCTGTGGCACGGGCCCCTCCCCCACTCAGGGTTATGCAAAGATCTATTTTCTCTCTCTCTCTTTTTTTAAGACCGTTTTTTGGGGTTAACTTTTTTTTTTTTTTTCTTTTGCTTAAGTCATAGACGGCAGGGAGAAAGAGCAAAGGAAAAAAAAGACAAAAAGAAAAAAATAAAAAGAGAATGAGGCTTTCCTTCTGGTAGCGGAATATTCCGGAAAAGATGCCGTCGGGGCAGCACCGGGCCGCTCCTTCCCGGGAGAGGTGCCCTCCCTCCTGGTGGGGTGCTGGCCGCTCCGCTCGCCGGCGGTGGCGTCGGGTGGCGTCCGCTCGGTGCCCTCAGATGTTCACGTCCCGCACGTCGGTGGGGGTGCAGGCCAGATCCACCTCTTCCTCCTCTTCCTCCTCCTCGGCCGCCTTGGGGTCCAGGCTCTGCTGCTGGGCCTGGCGCAGGCTTGACTCCAGCAAGGCCTCGATCTGCTCCTGGCAGGCCCGCAGGCAGTCCTGCGTGAGACAGGAGGGCAGAGCGGCTCAACAGACTCCTGGAGGGTCCTCGCCCAATGCCAGCCATTCCCAAGATTTCTAGAAGCACCAGCTCTGAACTCCATCCGGCCCTGTGTCTTGGGGAGCCCAGTCTTCCACGACACACGGCCATCCAGAGCCTGAGGCCACCATAAACGGGGGGACCAGGTGGCTTGGCGGACCTGGGCCCTTGACCTCCTCCACATGGGCTTGCATCTGCACGACCCAAAGCTGTCTACCAAGGCAGCCCCTGCTCCTGCCCCTGCCAGAGGGCGCCAGCGTCCAGGTGCAAGGCCTTGGGAACACCGGGCTCCAACCCTGTTGAGCTTAAAGCCTGGAGTAAGACTGCCCACTGTGTGTTCTGTGGGGAATATGCCGCCCAGGGTCTGGGACTTGGTGCCCAGCTCTCCTCCCAGTCTCTGTGAGGCTCTGCACTGCCGCTGGTGGCTGGGTGGCTCCCAGGCCCACACACCACACAACTGCATTTGTAAACAGGCTACAGCACACAGACCACAGCTGCAGAAGGCGGGGTGGACCACTGCACTCGGGAGAACATGTGGGCAGGTGGAGCTGTCCGGCCACCTGACAAGCAGACAAGCCAGACACAAGTGCTTGCGGTCGCCACTGGGTGCCGCAGATTCCAATTCATAGTGACCACGGAGGAC